CAGTCTTTTATTTACAATACTTACTGCCTAAATCATACGCAGTAGTAAATACTATAATATTAAGTTATTATGAGGTAAAACTATCAATACTAAAGGTAAAATATTTGCAAATAAAGTTGAATATTATTACGCAATGATACATATGTTTAGGCAATGAAATGAAAAATGTAATTAATTCTAAAAAATTAAAACAAAATACACAGAAAAATTTTCTATACGTTTTCTTACGTAATTACTCATAAGTTTAGTCTCTGAAATAAAAAAATGAATTTAATCATAAAAATCAATTAATCAAAATACAAAAAAAAATTTGCTATAGGTAGGTTTTTTACACGAGTTTAGAATTGTAGAAATCATTTGGACTATTCTTTTTGAAGCATTGCAACAAAACTTCTTGGCGTCTTCTAAATATTGTCTCTCCTCTTTTAAGTTTCAAATTTTTAAATTCTTCAGGAAGGCCCTTGTTTGTTCTTATAGTCCCACAAATCCTAGTTTTATTTTGTAGTAATAATAAACTTGTATTTACACTATTATAAAAATTGTCCATGTATACATGATGCCACAAATTTAAATAAGGTTCTAATATATCTAATATAGTTCTCTGTAAACTATTGCCATTTTCATAGTAAATTTTTAAATTGCATATGTAGCCTGACTTTGCTTCGCAAGCCATTCTAATCAGAATACTATATTTTGCTATTTTTGCTTAAATGCTTGTTTTAAATATGATAAATATTTTTAATTAATTTTTAAATATAAATTTGAAGATTTACTTAGGTAATAGGAAGTAACAGGTTATTAAATACATTTAATTCCATTGAATTCTTTCAAATAAAAGAAATTGGATAATAAAATACGATATCATACATTTTCAAATTACCTCTAATCCAAGCACAATTGAAAAACATTGCGAAAATTCGTCATTCAACAGTAAATTAATGAATTAGTTTTATTACTCGCCGGATACTGTATTTGATAAAATTACCTGTTGCCAGGTACGTAAATTAGACAAAGTAATTCCATTCTCCAATCATGTATAAAGTACCTTTATCACTTATAATCATACTATATACAATCTAGAGTTTTACGTTGAAAATTCGATTATTTTTAATATTATACGAAATTAATTTTTATGGTGTATAAATTAGTGACAAACCTAATAGTTAATTACATAAATAATAATATGATTTTATAAGCTACGTTCGATTGCTTGTAAAAATGTAATAGCTTATTTTTAACATTGTATTTAAAAATTAAATTATATGAATTATCGAAACGCAATAAATACAAAGATAGCAAAATATATAAATGGTAATATAGTATTAAAAGAAATAGTTTGTTTACCAAAAATGCTGACGTAAAACATATCGTCTTTAATAAAATACCATATATTTATGTAATATATACGTATTTACGTATCGAAAATAATTTTAAAGAATAAATTATAATTTTATTATAGTTTTATAATAAATATGAAACTAGCGTTGCAACCGCTCATAGTAAGAAATTTCGTTCGATGTTCGCATCTAGCGTGTCCGACCGAGTACCCGAAAATACCCGCACCCGCAGTTGAATGACAATCCTAAAACCAGGTACCAGTACCCGGCCCGCAGAAAGTGTGTTAATACTGCTAATATTTGCATCTAGTTCTGTTTGATTCATATATTTGATTTGATTGTGAAGTAATATTTGTATTAAATAAGTTTTTATTTGTATTTGCGTTTTATTAATTGGTGCGTTTTTATATATAATTATCTGTTTTAATAAAAATTATATCTTGATGTACGTTATATAGTTATAAACAATAATCTTCAAATATGCGATTAAAGATCAATAAAAATATGTCACCCAATAAGTAAAATAAATTATGCTGGATAGAATCATATTTTGATAGAATCTTATCGTCGTCTCAATAAAAATCATCACAGAAATTTTATTCCGAAGCTAAATAAACCCTAACCCCTCACTTTTATAGTCCAGCTTACATTAAATAAATGCATGCACTTTTGTCAGGAGATTGGTACAAAGATAAATATATTTTATAAATTTTCATAATATTTTTTATGATAATTTTCATATATTATATAAAATTGTGCCCAAAGCTCAAATTTCACATTTTGGGCTTTGGACTAGTGTTCATTAGTCAATGAATTTCTGGGAAATTTCTACGAAACGAATTTCTAGAATATGAATATTATATACATTCTATAAATTTGTTTTATATAAAATTATTTTTATATAAAATATGCTAAAATATATCGAAATTGTTATTATTAAAAAAAAACTAACTTCTTAAAAAAATAGTAATGTTGGATACAGTTAAATCCGCCACAAGTAGATGCCGGTAAATCAATGGAGTTAGCATGAGTGTTACTAAATTCGCGGAAAAACTTGTCCGCATGCTATTGGTCAAAATCTTTCCGACATCTCTTGCTCCGAATTCTACCCTCTCGGTTTCCCCGAAAAGCAGTTTCCACCGGCCAACTGCCCCCCGGCGTTTGAACGCCAAGGGTAGAAAATCACGCCTATTCCCACCAGTTATCGAGCGGCCTGGCCGGGGTTCCGTGCGCCATTGGTCAGCTCGTCGAACGTTATAACACGACTCTACATCCCCCTTGGGGAAAAATTCATTATATTCCCACTCTTGTACGATTTAGATTTTCATCGCGCCACTTGCCGCGCTCGAGTTAGATAGTAAAATCCCTTGGCATTTGGTCGATATTTGCTAGTTGGAGAGGTTTATGGTAATTTTTTATCGTTTTACAGATATAATTGGATTTGATTTGAGTTAATAAAAGAAGCTTGATGATGTTTTAATTAAGATTAGAAATGATTAGTTGGTTCGCGTTGGAATATTATATATAAGATATTTAAATCTATTTAAAAAATCAGGCAAATTTTCAAAAAACAATATGTTGAATATTGTTTTTTTTTTGAACATATTTCATTTTAAATTATTAACGATTATTTCGAAGCAAAACAAAATTATTTTGAATTATGATATTTGCAGCATTTGCGAAATGTACAGCAATATATATATATATATATTGTAATAGTATATGAGTGAATTATATTTTTGAATTAAATAAAAATATTTTTTTATCGTTTTACAGATATAATTGGATTTGATTTGGGTTAATAAAAGAAATTAGACGATGTTTTAATTAAGATGAGAAATGATTAGTTGGTTCGCGTTGGAATATTATATATAAGATATTTGAATCTATCTAAAAACTAAGGCAAATTTCCAAAAAAACAATATGTTGAATATTGTTTTTTTTTAACATATTTCATTTTAAATTATTAACGATTATTTCGAAGCAAAACAAAATTATTTTGAATTATGATATTTGCAGTATTTGTGAAATGTACAGCAATGATAGTATATGAGTAAATTATATTTTTAATTAAATAAAAATATTTTTTTTATCGTTTTACAGATATAATTGGATTTGATTTGGGTTAATAAAAGAAACTAGATGATGTTTTAATTAAGATGAGAAATGATTAATTGGTTTGCATTGAAATATGATTTATAAGATATTTAAATCTATCTAAAAACTAAGGCATATTTTCTAAAAAACAATATGATTAATATTGTTTTTTTGAATATATTTTATTTTAAATTATTAACGATTATTTCATAGCAAAAGAAAATTATTTTGAATTGTGATATTCGCAGCATTTGCAAAATGTACAGCAGTGATAGTATATCAATGAATTTTTATTTTTGAATAAAATAAATGTACCGAAAACCTTAGTACATATATTACATTATAATAAAAAAAGTGTACATTGAAACAAAGTTGAAATCATAGTTTTTAAGTAATTACTTAAAAACTATGACTTTAACTTTGTTAATCTCGTTATGCAAAAACTTATTTATTGATGAAATTTGGTTTAATTTTTAGCTTTTGGTTTAATATTCGTTAGTATAGTATATACTAGAAACTTACTTATGAAAAAAAGGATCAACTATTCTTAACTTATAGTAAGAGAATTCTAGTGACTAATTTCTAGTGACCGTTATCAATTTGCTTGACTTTTTTTTTATTCAAATGATTTTATAAACTGGAATTAAATTATGTATAAATATAAAAAAAATATTACGTATTATTCAATTTTATCTTATCTCTTCGATGTACTGACTAAAGAATTTGGCACACATAACTCTGCATCAAAATTACTACAAAAACTTCAATATGTATAAAAAAAGTAACATATTTAATGCATTTTCTCATTTTTTTGGAAAACAATGGTATATATATATATATATATATATATATATATATATTCACATATGTTTTCAAGAAAAGAAAAAATGCAATAAATATTTGATTTTGCGCCCAATCATTTTTAAATTATTGACATAAAATGACAATTTTCTGACCATTTTCTTAAATCAACATTTAATTCTATGTAATTTCAGAAGGCGGTGCAATGATGTTGCTCCAAAGACGAGAAACATCATTCGATGCAACCCAGCAAATGCCAATGTTTTTCATTACTATGGAAGACGATAACTGTCCTCCTCCTATGAGCCATGAAGTTACCATCAGCACCCAAATTGAATTTGAAGACGAGGATATTCAAAGATCTTCTGAGTCAACCGTTAGTATAAAATTAATGGAAATGCTGTTCCAATTAATTGATTAAATGACTGAATGATTTTCAACTCTCTTACAGAAGGCCAATCAGTATCACGAAGAAGATTCCAAAGATTCATCTTCTACTTCAATGACTACCGATAAGAACAAAAGTGGTAACAGCAGTACCGGCAACGACTCCAATAATAATGAAGATTATGAAGAAGAATCGGATGATGATCACTGCGATCTAACTTGTTTAAGTTGGCTGCAAAATATCACAAATATTATGGCAGTCCCTGCTTTACCTACTCCACCAGATTCACCAAATCATCAAAATATTTCTCCTCGAAATGGACCAGAACGTACCACAAGGTAATAATTTTGAATCAGTTCCATGTATTTATTTCCATTCTTAGCGATACGATTGTGACGATAGAAGTTTGAAATGTTAACATGGGTGATTATTCCAAACTTTTTTGAGTTTTTATAATTAAACTACTACTACTTGTAAACCTATAATATTTCATAATATTCGCTAATTCAAATATTGGACCAATAGCATAAAATGCATAATATTTATTTCAATTTGTAAAAAAATCATAAAATTATAAAACCATAAATATGATGGATTTTATATTGTTGGTATAATATTTGAATCACACATAATAAGCCATTTTTAAAAGAATTTCTTTGAATTCTAAATAAATAAATATGGATTTCATGTTTTTGACCCTGTAGTGGACATTTTATTAAATATATTTCAGAAATATTGACCATATAGTGTATATTATATAGTGAACTTACTTGAACATTTTATGAATTGTTTTGAAAATCTAAACCAATATTATCGATTTCATATTATTATTGACCTATACTGGGCTTACTTGAAAAACTTTTTATGAAATATTTTAGAAATCTAAATTAATATAACACATTTCATGTTGCTGGACTTACACGAAAGATACTTTGAGAATTTTTCCCGAAATTTAAACAAATACTATCGAATTCAAGTTGCGGACCGATGGTAAACTTACTCGAAAGACTTTTTAAGAATTTATTAAGGTTGAAAAAAAATGAAATAAATAAATAACGTTTTTATTCTGAAAAAGATCTATGAAACTGCATCAAAGCATAACTCGTTGTCATGAAGAATTCAAACGAAATCAAGAAATGTACTCCATCAGAACCTCGGTGAAACCCCCATTTTCATACGCGACTATGATTTGTATGGCGATGAGAGAAAATGGAAACAAAATGACGCTGAGCGAAATCTACGCGTGGATAAAGGAAAATTTCGCATACTACAGAATGGCTGATCCAAGCTGGCAGGTAATAATTGCAAGTTCGAATAAATTTTAATTGATTCCTTTATCAAAATCATTTCTCCGGTTAATAAGGTTGATACAGGGGTCTATACTATTGGTGTATAATACTATTGCATATAGTTTTTATTTTTTATAATTATAATTATAATTATATATATATATATATATATAATCATCGTTAATAAGACATGTGTCCGCATTATATATGCTGCACTAATGATCAGCTGAATAATTTATGCCTTACCTACCACGATATTTTTGCTTTCGTTATAAATTACTCAAATGTAGAACAATAGTAAAAATGTAACAAAATTTAAATGCAACTATTAGACATTAATTGAATTTGAATTCAATTATATGTTAAAATTCAAATAATCCTCAATCATCAAATTAAGGCTTAGTAAGAGATAAATTAATCATAAACTAGCGACGCCGTAGCTTCTACGCGTGTAAATAAATAATGAGCTTAAACATGGCCACTGCAAAATATTATTGATTAATTCTAGAAATAATGTTTTAGGAGCTCCAGCCCCAAATAGATGAGTTTTAATATCTTACAATCGTTCAAATTTTTCTATAATTGCTCATTCCAAAGTTTCTCACCTTACTTCAAATTTATTAACACCTAATAACCAGGTTTAAAAACATAAATTGTTTTTTGATTAACTATTTATCCTTGTGAATGAGTACTATGATATTTATTAAGGATATGTATGTGGCATTACAATAAGAATTTAAGTAACATCTATCATTTTTAATAGAACTCCATTCGCCATAACTTGTCATTGAACAAGGTGTTTGTAAAAGTAGCAAGGTCAAAAGATGAAAGAGGCAAAGGAGGATTTTGGAAAATGGATCCAGACAGGTAATAGAAAAAGGGCATAAAATTATATTAAAATATATTTTATTTATTTGTATTACAAAACTATTATATAATCTCTTTTTAAAATCAGCATATAAGCATTATGTGATTATATCTCTCTATATTCGCCTATACATAATGATGCATTTGTACCTCCAAAACCAAAAGCATTTTTCAAAGCTATTCTCTTATCACAACTCTTCCAATCACAAGATTTATTAGGCACATAATTCAAGTCCATATCTTCAGTTAGATTTTCTAAATTTATTGTTGGTGGTACAATACCAGTTTTGATTGCCATTACAGTAAATACTGTTTCTATATTGCCAGCAGCTCCCAGTAAATGCCCATGAGCTCCTTTAGTTGAAGATACCATTAGCTCAGGGGAATGATCACCAAATATTGTTTTGATGGCTCTAGTTTCTATGGCATCACCAATTGGAGTAGACGTTGCATGAGCATTGACATAACTTATATCATTTGAATTAACATTTGCATCTTTTAAAGCTCTGGACATAGCTAATGTAGCTCCCATACCATCTTCCCTAGGTGATGTTAAATGAGATGCATCGCTGGATAATCCATATCCAAGGATCTCAGCATATATTTGTGCATTTCTACCCAAGGCATGTTCAAGCTCTTCCAAAACAAATATTGCAGAACCTTCACCCATGACAAAACCATTTCTATCCCTGTCAAAAGGCCGAGAAGCCTTCTCAGGATTGTCATTGGATGATGTGCAAAGTGCTCTTAACCTACAAAATGCAGCAATAGCTAAAGGGCTTATGCAAGCCTCAGCCCCCCCAGCTAACATTACTGTAGCATCGCCGTTACGAATGAATCTAAATGCGTCCCCTATGGAATGGGCTCCTGTTGCACAAGCAGTAGACACAGAATGATTTGGACCACGAAATCCAAATTTCATACTTATTTGACCAGCAGCCATATTAGGTAGAATTTTAGGGACAAAAAATGGACTTACTTTGTTGTATCCTTGCAGAAGAGATTCATTTGTCCTCAGTACTTCTTCTAAATCAACCATTCCAATACCGACAGCTACACCAGTTGAATTTAATGATTCTTCATCATTACATTCGTATTTTGAATCTTTCAAAGCCTCTTCAGCCGCAATCATTGCATATGTTATAGCCGGTGTCATTGTTCTTAATTCAGATTTCTTGAATCGACCCTCAACATTAAGTTCTTCACTAGATATAACACCAGCAATTTTGCATGGCAAATTATTATATCTTTCATCCAATTTACGAATTCCACAACCTCCTATTTCATATTATAATAATAATAATGATATTGAGCATAGGACTAAAAACATGTTTAACAAACCTGCAATTATCGTTTCCCAGGACTGTTTCACATTTAACCCTACAGGGCATACAGCCCCCATTCCAGTTACAACAACCCTTCGACATTTGCTGCTTAATTTTCTCCACTGACAATAACTTAAAGATATAGGTTTCTTTAATAACATCATATTTTCAATTTTTCATAACATTTTACATCTCACATGTCTTTCACATTGACTTGCACACGGCTGACAAACTAAATGTCAAAATAAAATCTTTGTTATGCTAAAGATGGCAGCACAGTAGCAAATTTCATAAGCCGTTACATTCAAATTAATTAATATGATTTAATAAATTATATATTTAACAACATTTATGAATTATTTAATTTCTTTCTTTTTATTATATTCAATTACTTCGTTTGCTTTATTACATTTAATATAGGCATATAATAAAAAAATAAACACGTTTATTTATGCATAAACGTAAAAAGGAAATAAATAATTAAATCAATATAATGCATAAATTATAGGCTACAAGAACGTAGACGATTTAAAAAGAGAGCAATTTCTGACAAAGAACGGGCAGAGTCTAATCGAAAACGATCAAAAATAATAGATCCTATCCCTACACTGTCTACTAATTCTCAATGCGAGGAAAATGCTGATATATTTCCAGATACTTCATATAAGGTAAAAAATCAAGTAGTTAGTTGTAACACTAACAATTACATTGATGATAAATAATATATTCTCCTAATTCGTCAGGTAATTTCAATGCCTATGCTATCCCAATTGACGCCTATTGAGGCTGCAGAAATGGACGTGGACGATCCACTCCCATTGTTGCCATTAGATTCCCTGTTAGCCTGCACTTCTGATACACATCCTGGTCCGGCCGTAGAAGTGCAAGATGCTCATCAGGGTATGCAGGGATTAGGAATGGCAGAAGATGAATTAGCTGGATTATTACTATCAAGTGGATGGGATGAATCACAACTAGAATTACTAGATTCATTACTGGATTCACTTTAAAGAGGAATTAGAAATTACTCATAACTAAAAGGTAAAGCAATAGTTCTGGCTGGTAAAGCCTACAAGAAAAAGGACTTTTATTTTGTTTAATTTTTTATCTTAGAGATGAACGAGCCACAAAAATTTTTGGTCATTTTTTTATGTGCTACTTAATATTGAATAAATACATAAAAATATATAAAAAATGCTCACATTTATAGATTTTAGAAAATAAATATATTTATAAGATAATAATTAAATTTTAAAAATAAAAATATATGATATCTGAAACAGAATCAATTAATAAAAATAACATCGATAAATGATATTAATTATTAATTATACTATATTTTTGTAATTAGTATTGTAAATTAATTTATGGTTAATATTAAATTGATTGTTTTTTTTTTGTGGAAGACTTGTGTCCGAAATATATGTAAAATCTCTTTTATGAATAGTTATGCATTTCTGTCTCTATTACTGGAAAAGCCTCTTGAACATTTCAAATAAGAAACAAAAAAATATTTCTTTATGAAGTTGTTGGTTTATATTCACTTAAAAAAACACTAATGTAATTTACATAAAATACCTTAAATATCTTCCCTGGTAGAAACTAAGAAAAGAACTTACGAACTAAAAGCTAAGTCAATATTTGTGAATTAAATCTAGTCATGTAGGTACTATTATATTATCACATTGGTTTTTAATAAACAATGAAATAATAATCATCTAAATTAATAAATGATCGTTTCTTTGCAATTTATAATAGTATTAATCATTAAGTTACTAAATATGTAGAAATTAATTAAATATTAAAATAAATAAATGATGCTTATATAAAATTACTGTAATGATGTGCAAATTTTACAATGTAGAAGTGGAGTGAATAAGAAATAATTTATTAAAATATATTATTTAATATAAAAATATATTTATGCTTATTATTTGTATTTACAAATATTATATTATCACAGTTATTCAATATAAATCAATAGAAATTAACAAAATAATAAACTTTTAACAGCACATTTAAAATCATCAATAAAGACATTTTTTATATGACAAGTTTCATAGGTATTATAGAATTCTTTTGTTTCTAAAAGATAATTAACAACTTTTTCAGCAATTAAAATTACTGCTGCATTTATATTACCACTTGGTAGGTCTGGAAATACTGAAGCATCAGCCACTAACAAATTGTTTAAATGTTTTACTTTGAATGTATTCCAATCAACAACCGTATCATTATTTTCAATTGGACCCAATTTGCAAGTTCCCGCTGGATGAAAGCTACTCAGTGTCACATGTCTCACATAACATTCCCAATATTCATCAGTATCAAATACAATATTCTCACAACCAGGGAAATGTTTATGTACTATTTTGGCATTCAATTTTCTCATGCTTGGTGTGTCTAATAACTGTTGTATTATTCGAATACCTTTTATTAAAATTGCTATATCATCTTTTTCCGACAGATATTTTGGATCAATTAAAGGTTTATCATTATAATCATTGGAAGCTAATTCAACAGTACCTCTGCTTTTGGGGTGTAAAACAACTGGTAAAATAGTTATCATGTTGTTATAACTGAGATCATTATAGTAATCATGCCAAATTTTTGGTAATATTCCAAATAATTTGTGAAGATGAGCGCCAGCATCTTTAGTAACACCTAATGGTAATGCCATTAATTGCAAATCAGGTGGATTATCATGTTCCTTTTTATCAAAAATTGTATTTATAAAAGCAACTGCTTCACAGCCAGGAGTAGTCCAGGGACCACCGTTACCCATAACATAATCATAGACAGTTTTTGGTGATGCAATATCTAACAAACTTAAGTTTAAACTATCATTAATCATGATCAAATCTATACCGGTAGTAACATGATCTTGCAAATTCTTGCCTACTGGTAAATCATGAACAACAGATATGTCAAGATTTTGTAAATGTTCTTTAGGGCCTATTCCACTTAGCATTAATATTTTTGGAGTTCCAATTACACCAGCAGATAGAATAACTGCTTTACGACACCGCTTGACATAGTTTTTATTATTTCTAATAAATTTTACTCCATAAACATGATTTCTTCTTATCAATAACTTTATAACTACACTATTTGTAAGAATTGTCAAATTAGGTTTATCAATTGATTTTTTCAGGTGTAAATGGCTGGTTGTAACTCTTGCACCCTTCAATTGATTCACTTTTACTCGATGAAAACCTATAAAAAAACTTAAATTAAAATCTAAAAATCAAACAAAACTTACATGTTAGCTACAATTTAATTTGATCATTATTTATCAGTAAAACTACCTAAATTAGCGTCACTAAAAGTGTATCCAGCTTCCAGTCCTGATTTTATGAATAAATCGCCCAACTTTGAAGAATATAGCACATCAGATATGGGTAAATAAGATTCTATTTTTCTAAAAAAAAAATAGTAAGCGCTATTATAATAATTATTAAGATATGAGATTAAATTAAATATTTAACTTGAAAATCTTCAATATTTCTCTACTGTAGTCTAGTGAAGGTGGAAACCAATGTTTATAGTCATCATCATGCCCTTTAACATATAACATGTTGTTTAACCGTGATGTACCTCCAACTATTTTACCGCTGGGCCATTTGGAAGCCTAAAATATATTTTGTAAACCATATATATCTTGACCGCTTTTTCAACTTTGAATCATATTCCACATAATTGGCGGCCAAACCATTGTTTAATAAATTATCTTATATAATTGATATAATTCTACAATATTCTAACATATTAATCAATTTATAAAATGAAAACCTGATTATAAAGAGCAAGACACGCATTATTTTGTGGTACGGTCTCATATTGCCAATCAAAGTCAGTTCCTTGAAGCATAGGTCCTATAAAAGGAATATCAAAGAAAGAATGTCCATAATTGCCTGCTTCTAATATTAAAATTTTGTAATTAGTATTTGCAGAAAGTAAGCCAGCAATAGCAGATCCTGCCGTTCCAGCACCAACTAAAAGAAAGCAGAATACAAACAGCTTTTCTAAAACTCATATGCTTATTTCATCTACTTACCAATAATATAATCATATTCTTCAACATTTTCATTAGCACACTTTTCACATATAAAACTTTCGTTAACATGAACAAGTTGAAAATACAATAATATTAAACTGGCACTAACAGAAAAGAATGCAAAGGTAAGTAAGTTTATGCAAAAGTAATACATATTGCAATATGAATAGAGAAACGTATTATTATTAAACTAGTAATTTAATTAAAGGTTTTTAACCTCAAAACTATAGTTAGTATTTATAAATATAACAAATCAAGTTAACATGTTCTTATTTACATAAAAATCACTTTTGAGAATATTGTTTAAATGTAACCAAGTTTTATTTATATATGTATTGAGTCACATTTATTTAGAAATAGAATAGAGAAAAAAAAAAGTGGCATTTAAATGAGGTTATACCGAAATTGGTATAATTTTAACAGACGTTAGAAAAAGTAAAGAAATATGGAGAACAATTACTAGTGTGCTTGGAAATAAGCAAACAATACAAATTATGTATGAATCTCATAAAATCACAAATTACAGATCATAAATCAAAAGTAAAAAAGATAAAAGTGCAAATAAGCATATACACACATGTGTGCACTTAACATATTTGTATTTTACAATCCATATACAGCTTTTCAACACTATTAAATAAATGGGATAAAGAAATGTAAAAAAAAAAATAAAAAAAAAATTAACATATAAGCAGGTATTAACCTAATTATTATTTTTATAAGTTAACTCTTTATTTCATAACTTAATACAAGAAATATTAATATTGATTTACACAATTCATACATAAGAGAAAATATGCACCATCTTCAATATTCACAAACTTACAGGAAAGATAAAATATGCATAATTTTCAATATTCACATAATAAAAAAAATAAATTATTAATAAAATTACAAATTTTGTTTAAAATATTTCATTATAAGGCAATAAAAGGAATATTTTCAGAAAATATGCTAAAATGATTAAAATTGGCTACTATTCCTGAAGAACAGTTTTTATTAAAATCAAAGAAAAAACAAATGAAATGCACACTGCAGTTTAATGTAAGAATCATTTTCATGTAAGAACAAAGCTATATTATACATATTATATTTATATATGCATTTTAGCCCTTTACTATTTTTATTTTCAATATATAAGTAGCAATGCACATAGGCATACACTGTTTCACACATATTCACATATTTATATATGTACACATTACCTCAATTTTCCATACATATATAAATATAAAAATATCTACAAGTATTGTATAATAGCTTGTCTTATCATATCCCACATACCCTATTATGGAATCGTACCTCTTAACTCAATTATATATTTTAATTGCTTTCTCCAGATAATTGAATCTTGACCTTTTTGGTGTTTTATTTATATGTTCTAAACCAAGCCATGGTCGTGGAGCTGTATCTATAAACAAAAATTAGGTATTTTTATAAATAACTCATAATAAAGTATGAAATATTAAAACTTACTTTGATTTTGGCTTGTTTTAAAATCTTGCAGATTTATACATTCATCATCCGATATATAGTGTGGTCTATTTAATGATACTATAGCAAATTTGAACTAGAAATAAATTATAACATAAATATTTTGGAATTACTTTTGTTTAATAGTCACCTTACTTTTTCCCATTCTTTATCTGGCACACCCAATCTCTTTTGTAATCTCTCCTTTAACCTGGCAAATGGTTCACCCTGTTTAGCCTTGGCAAAAAAGGGTACGCCGAAAGTAGAATAAACTTCTTTATGAAAATGAGCTACTGATATTAACATCTCATCTTCCTGTAAAAATTTTGTTCAACATTAATGCTTATTCAATTAATTTGTTCGAAATATGTTGTTCCCATATGTATACCTGTAAATTTAATTCGTCTTGAGGAATTTCTTCTACTCTATAAAGTTTTGTGTTGGTGACATGACCATCAGCCATAGATGCCAAATCTAAAATATTATATTGTATTTAGTAAAATCTGAATGGAATTTTTAATAATCATGCTTCATAACATAAAATGGGCTTGGAAGTGAGTAAGTTTATTCTTAATGTTAACTTCCAAACTCAGAAAAAGTAAATGGTAAATGTTTAATATATATTACTCTCTAGAGGAAACTCCTCATGAGGCCCAGGAACAACTTTGTTTCCAACAATTTCCACAAGCCTTAATCTCCCAGATCCATTTTCCGACATTTCTACTACTTTTGTGGCTTCTTCTAAAAGCGTCGAAACCGTTCCATTTTTATTTGGATATAAAACTAGTTCTTTCTCTTCTTTCATATTCAGACCTAACCACAAACATTTAAATTGCTTTTTATTCTCTAGCTCATTTATTTTAATTGAAATTTGTTGGTAAAATATTTTCTTAGGTCCTTTGGGTTTGCAATACATTAACATATCTTTCAACATTCCTTCAAAATTACATCTTAGTGGTGGACCAGGAACATCTTTGTAACTATAATAAAATAGTTAAAAAACTAAATAACAAGTTGATTCTATTTTAAATAACTATCATTACATTATAAATACAAATATCCTTACTTTTGAACACGGAAAAACTGAATTAAATATGGATCTACATTGATTTTCTGTCCAACTGCACGAGCCATTTGATCATATGTCATACGCTGTGATAAATCGATAGTAAATCTATAATAAAAAACATGAACATAAATTAAATGAGATGATACATAAAAAAAATTATTCTTGAAAAAATATGATTATTGTTTCTGTTTACCCTTGATCATTTGGAATAGTTTTATCTATAAATGTTACTTCGACTCTGTAATACAAATCACGGAAGTAATCTTGACAGGTTGGTAATTCTAAATTATGCTCCGAAGCTTCTTTCTTTTCAAAGACAATAATATCACCGTCCATCAGTTCTTCTAATACCTGTGATTAAATTGAATTTTTTTAATGAATTTTTAATTTAAAAGAACATGTTAAAAAAAATATGTATATACCTTTTCAAGAGGATCATTATAGTTTACTATTTTTTCTATCATGTTGGGCTTAATTTCTTCATACAATACCAGCTCAGTATTTGGAGGAAAACCAGCTCTCTTATTCAAAAGTGGTGTGAGGTCCTTCAGTTTTGATGATACTGGTAAATAATGATGGCCACAATAATGAATTTTCTTATTACGAGGATCATACATTTTGAAAAATAGCAAAACATCTGTGTCTTTATCAAATGGAGGTAGACACGTCAAACCTGAATCTGGAGGTAATAATTCTACTAAAATATTCCATGGGTTTTGATTATCAGCAGCATCTAACACAGTTTTTTGCATATCATTTTCAATATCTAGTGCGGTAGGCCTACATGTCTAAAAAGTAATCAAATACAAAAAATTTGAATACGAAACAAATAGTGTAACAGTACATAATTTTAGAATTATTTACTTGATTTGATCGTGCACTTAATGGCCAAGGTCTTATTTGATCTTGGGGATATTTAAAACTTTCAGAAAATATATCCATAAGTTCCTGTAATGATGCTTGTTTTCTTACACGGAATACTCTATAACTAGCCCTGTCAGGGTCATATAAATCATTGCCTTGATGGCCATCAAAAGCATCTTCAAGTAAAACATTAACAGTCATATATAAGTGTGCTTCATTTCTCTCTTTCCTTCGAACCTAAAAGTATCAAAAACAAATTTGTAGATATCATATTATGCAAATGTGATTGATAAATACTTACTTGTTCGAGTCTTTTCTCCTCAGCAAGCCTTTCTACTAATTCTGTGGGAATATCTTGTTCTGTTGTTTCCTGGAGAACTGTCCGCAAAGCTGAGTCCCTTATATAAACTAACATATATGCATTTGTACAATGTTTTACAGTTAAACTCATATCTTCATCATGTCCTCCATAATTATGTTCAATAGCTTCTTGTTTGGAACACCTTGACACCACATCATCATCAAACTTACACCACTTAAAAAAAAGATATTTAGTAATTTAATGTGGATCACAAATGGGTTGCATAATCATTGAAAGCAGTAATATACTTACCTTTCCATCGCCTTTCGGGTTTATGAAAACTACATAATGTCCACCATGATTATCACCTGAATGTACAAGAACTGCATGTAAAGTATAGTCAGCAGGTGTTGATTCTGGTTCCTGTAGGTAGCTATCCAAATTGATGTGCTCTTGGAATTCAAATCTAATATGAAAAAGAAATTTAATTACCCTTCACAAATATTAAAAAAAATTGTTGACATATCAGATTAGTTTTTCCTTTCTTACAAAACAATGTATTGTATTTATAAAAATTATAAGAAACGATATTGCATATAGTAAAAGATTCTTTAAAATATAAAATATACCTAAAGCAAATCAAATTTGAATTATTCAAAAAATTCAATTAAACTAAGTTTATTGCAAATAGCTTGTAATGATTCCAATAAATTTACCTGTCATTAAATTTGACTGAACTATCTGTAATGGGATCATACTGAAACCTCATTAAGTGAAGATGTAGTACAGGCGGAAAAGATGCAAATATAACACCTTTCTCTGCTTCTTGAAGGCCATGCTCGCCTGCATCATATTTATTTTCACCTTCTAAGGTCTCAGTAGCCACATAATCTTTAAATGACTCATCAACTAGAAGAGATAAAATGATATGAGTATGAGTTAAGCACTAATAAAACAAAGGATAATGTGTGTTTGATATTACTATTCTTTTTTCCTTTTATATTTAATTGTATGTCATAAAAAGTTTCAACTCTTGTACTGGTGCAGGTAACTTTTTTGCATTTGATGTAGGATGACATTTTTCCTTCGAAAAGTTTGGGAACGGTTCCTTCAACGCATGTTCCTTTCATTTTGCTTTCTAGTTTATCTAATAATACCTGGAATATGAATATATTTGTATAAATATACATATTCTAATATAAAAAAAATAATAATCTTAAAAATAAAATATTATTACCCTAAGAAATTCCTGAACGTCATGCTGCATAAAAGAATCTAAAGTTTCCCACCCAAAGCTTTTAGTCAATTTTTTTGTTCCTACTGGTCTATCAGAAAATTGTAGCTCATGAAAAACTCGTTGCAAAGCTAAGGCTACAGATTTACTACTATCATCAGACTCTGTAGGCATTTTATAAACTGCTCTACGAAGCTGATTTGTAAAATATAATGTTTGGAGTAATGAGTTCATATAACATGTTGCTCCTTGATTTTTCAAGCCTATTACAATAAAAGATAAATATGATGTAATGATTAATTTATAATAGAAAGAGATATAATGATTGAAATGATAAAATCATAAATTGCAACAAACCTACAAATCCGGTATGTTTTTTTGAATCCCATGATACCCCATGTGGGGCATCGGCGGCTACATGCACTTCTAAGGTAATTGAATCATCTTTAACATAACCCTTGTCTGGATCTAAAACATCATTCCAAGACATGAAATGTGAGAAACCCCAGTCATTTTCTTTACTATAAAATAAATGCTGAATCTTTCTTGAGAAAGGTACTTGATCAGGCTTATGTGAATGGAGTCTTAAGTCAGCAATAGCATAACAAGACCAAGATGATGAATCACTTTCTCCATTACATTGCAAGAAAAACCCTGCAAACAAAAATAAATAAAGAATAAAATAATTGTATTTAGAATATATAAAATCATATGTGGTAACATTATAGACAATAAATTGAGACAAAAAAAATTTAGAAAACTTTGAACTCATATGAATTAAGGTACTTACCCATTGATTTTTGTTGCTGTCGATCTGCAGTGGCGTTGGATCTCGGCATAACCATAATCTTCCATGGCAAATTTCTTACATAACATGGTGGTGATAAAACGGAATCTTTCAGTCTTGAAAAATTATTTACTGTAAACTGAAATAATGCTTCAGATCTTGATTCATCTTCTTCCATTTCTGCATCCTTTTAGGAATTGACAAACATTATTAATAACTAAATTTTATAACTAAAGATTATGTAAAATATAATTAAATGTATGAATTGAATATAAACATTTTGCTAAGAATAAAAGGAATAATAGGTTAATTTATAAAATAATGTTGATTTGTTTTTTCAAATAAATAAAAATTAATTACTTATATAAAATCTATAATAAAAAAATGATTAAATTTAGGTTAATAACATTGGAAAACTCCAAAGTCATGCTTTGTATATAGAAGTTTCAATTATGGCAAGATGCCAAAAAAGCAATTGACAAAGACAATGTATTTATACACATTTACTTGTAAAGATGCAGCAGCCTGCTCTTGATTTTGAGGACCCATCAAAACATCCCCATTGGGAGCCCGCATATCACCACTGCCTTCGTCTGGAAGACAGTCCACCGAGTCGACTAAAAATAAAATATTACTTACCATGGCGTTACGATTTATTAACATCTTAATTGATAGTATTTGTATTCACAATAAAATTACTTACGTGGGTGACAGATGTAAATGCATTGTCTTTTGTTTTTTTTTTTACAAAATTTACTATATTTTTTTTTAAATAATTGATAAAAAATACTGATTACAAACCATCTTGAGTATCCATTTCTTCAATTTCTTCACGCATTTGATTTCTTCTTTGAAAAGCTGTCATTTGATGCATATCCTTTATTGTGTCTGTCAAAAGAGGATCCTTTGTCAATAAATTTTCTTGATAAGTCAATGGTTGATCTACAGTCTGCAAAATTTCATCTAATTACACAGTAGTATCAAATCTGAGGCCAGCAAATTTCTTAAATTGAGAATTCAATAAAGATCACACGTTACTAACTTACATTAAATGTTTAAATAACAATTCTGCAGTAGCACAAGGAAGAATTGACGTGCAGAAAAATGCACGTTGATCGCACTACTTACTTTGACAGTTGCAGCGAAGTTATTTTTCATGAGTTTTACACTACTGTTGTTTAAGATAATATGTTTATCACTATTCGGTAACGTCAAACACTTTTTCTGTGTACTATTTCGATGACCGGACAAGGTGGTCAATTTGACAAAGTGTTTGCTTGCGATGCGCCCAATGTCTGCGATTTCCTAAACCCTCAAAAAGAGGGGAGCGCCATATATTCATATATATTTATATAACGACGAATTAACTTGAGAGTTGTTTCATCTTAAATAAACTGCACTAACTTCCTTTACGCTTACACTTTCTTAAAGCGGTGATTTTAGACTTCTTCATGTGAAAATAAACAAAATGGTGGATAAATTCTACCAGCAGTCAAGAAGGCGCAAGAATTCGTTTGTTTGTTTCTCGTCTAAGTTATTCTGTGATTGAGCCTATACCAAAGATTCCTAATCTTTTCTATTTACCAAAATTTCAGAGATTTTTAACTACAGTTTGGTATCTTATATAACAAAAGTTTACCACTAATTTATCCTACTTGTTATATTTTTTTATAAATTAGCATAACCTTACTTTATTTATACTATCCGGTTCACAAAAATGAGGTTAACTGGTTAACTGCCGCAAATTTATTTTTTATCTTACAATATTTTCGTTTATTCAATATGGTTTATATATCCTTATAAGCTTATTATTTCTCAATATATATTCCATTTACCATTTGATTACGTAACTTTCTGCTAATGTATTTCATTTTTTGTAGATACACACCAGATATTTAGAAACACTGGTGCTCCTAAGTTAAACTTCATGTCAAGAAAAGTACCCGTTAAATTTAAAATCCAATTTCGACTTACATTAAAAACAAATCAAATATTTAAATAAATAAATAAATGAATGAGATGTAATATAATTTATTTTAATTGGGAAAGTTATATTTATTTGTCAATTTTAGCCACTAATTAACATTTCTTTAACAAACATTATTTACTAGTGGTTACTTTAATTTGCACAATTTGAATAACTAACATTTCAAGATGGAATGTATTTTGTATTATATAGTCTTTTGTCTATTCAGCAAATATTAACAATGAATGTGTAATTTGTAAAATTTATAATAAAATATATTATGATTTCTATAATAATAACAGTGCTTAATAAATGACTAGAGGTAAAATGAATGACTAGATAATTTACAAACTTATAATATCTTAAAAGCCCTAAATTTGGTTCAATGAGGTGTTTAGAATTTTTTATATCTATTGTCTTCATTAGACAATATTACATTTTGTTTGATTACTGCAGTGAACAAACACCTGAGGCATCATGACTTCTTTCTAGAGTTACAGCTCTTCGTTTAACACCTTCTAAATAAACTTCTCTATTGAAAAGTCCAGCAGCAAGGGGTACACTAAATAAATATATAATTATTTTATATGTTATTTACAAAATAATATATATTATAAAATTAATAGTTCAATATCTATTTCTAAGCAACATTGCTATTAGTCTTCTGAAATATAAAGCATAATTTTTATTTTTTACAACATTAAAGCTGTAATAAATAAAAAAAATATTTGATTAGTATAATTAGCACACAATAATTCACCTGCATTTACATTATAAGAATAATGGCATGATAAAATAATATATTAAGCAAGCAAAATTATTATGCTTTGGGAACTAGGTAAAAAATCAGCACTAATGTTTATCAATAAATATTAGATATGTACTTACGTATCAATTCCAGGTCTGATAATATTTTTGAATAATGCCCAAACAGGTTTATGATCAGAAGTTAATATACTAGGAACTGAATCATATAATAAACACTCCAAGAAAGGACTTTCATTATTTATTGGGGCACCACTAAAAAGAATTATAAAATTGCTTTAAAAATATTATATATTAATATTGTATCTAGTTTCAATACCTATTCCTTCGAAGATAATTTGTAGTACTATGCTGTGGTTTCGATTTAAATAAAATTCGGTCAGTGTATGCTGGTGCTCTTTGTTTAGAGGATGTATCAAATTTTTGTGTACCAGGATCATACTACAAATAAAACATTATTATAATATCATTTTATAAAAACTATATAAACATATGTGTACCTTATATGTAGGAGGAAATCTAATTTGTGCTTCCTGAAACCCTTTAAAAGCTGCTCCATCAGACAAAACAGCAGTTAGTTGATCAGAATGCATATAGCCATGAGGCATTTGTGGTGGAAGAGGAAATGTTGTATTATTAATCCATTCTAGTACCTATACATCAAAATTGTATTAAAATTAGTAGTTGGTTATGGTTATAACAAAATAAAAGGTCATTGTGCATTACTTTATCTCGTGGTTCACCTAGCCTGAAGTTTAAATCACCACACCAAAACACACAATCAAAATTTTGAGTAACATCTGGATAAAAATAAAAATATTTATAAAAATACAATAATATAAAAATAGTAATGTTTATTTATTTATCTGTGCTTAATATATATTTTACCTTTACTTTTATGTCGAACTGGCAGATTTTTTGGTAAATCTAGAGACCTTATAATTCGTTTTATATCCTGAACTCTTTCTTTTACTTTCTCCTGATGTGCAGTGAGATGTGCTGTCACAAACAAATAACTCGTGCCAAAAAGAGAAAAAGAAATGGCAACAGCCCCTTTAGTGCGAAATGCAGAACCGGGTCGAACTGACATACTTGTGTCTTCAGGTAAAGAACAAAACCAAATTAAATCTCTCCTTATAAATATTGCTAAATGCAATGTACCTATAGCAAAAAATAATAATCTTTATTTTCTAAGTATCTCAGAATATATAACAGAAATTTGCTTAATATCTTACCCAAAGAAGCGGCATGCAATAAAACATGCGTTGGACCAATAGTTTCTTGTAAAATTACTTCCCACTCAAATCTTTCAGAACAAGATTCTTGCGTCCCTATTGCCAGAATATCAGGTACATATGAAATTGCATTTGGTAAAATGAAGTCATTCATTTCACTGTGGATATTAAATAACAACATGTTAATTTTGATGATTACTGAAAAATATAAAATTCAAGCTCAATACTTTGGTGGTGAATGTCCATTCATGTTCCATGATCCTACATAAAGTCTAACCTCTCGACCTGGCAAAACCCTTTCCAATTCTGCAGAACCTAATAATGAGTTGACTGCTACTCGTCCTTGCAAATAATTTCTGTACAGGCCATATGTAAATAAATACATTATTATTCAATAATAAATGTCTACTAGTGTGCCAAGTTGAACTAATTATTAGTCTGTTTATAGAATTTAAAATAATGCATAAAATACCTTTCTCTTGCCATTGTAGTAGGTATAAGATGTAAAACTTGTGCGGCTAAAAGTGATTGTTTTGCTAAAGAATCTGTGCTTTCGGTTTCGCATATGACAGTATCATGAGACGTAGATCTAAAGTTATTATAAATTTAGACAACTATGTTTCTATTGATACAAAAATATTTTGTAATATATTATAATTGTTTACCTATGCATGGTTTTCCCAGTGGGTACGCTTTTAGTGCTCTCAGGCGAGGAATGGATTATGGGATCATGAGATTTCAGAACTAAGTTATCTACAGACTTATAGGCTAGATAATGTTTGGTAAAATGACTAGAAGAGTTAGTATCACTGTTGTCATCACTATTACATTTTGAATTATTTTGTGCATCATCATCACTATTTGCAACAGAATTGGAATCTAAAGATGACTGAAATATTTGCCAAAATAGATTAAAAACAATTTATATAGTACTAAGTCTATAATTGTTACATTTCTGCACTAGATTTTATCTATGACTACAATTGAATTGCAAGTATTCGTACAGCAAATCTATGTCGAATGAAATGATATTAGGACAAGATATAAGTATTTCAGAATATATTTTGTTGAAAAAACTCACCTTAATTTCAGAAGTAAGTTCTAAAGAATGAGAAGAAGTATGTTGTAAAAGCTCTTTCCTGTAATGTGCAGCGATGTCAAACTTCAATGGATTCAAAGATCTCTCACTTAGTGTACAACATAAGCCTCTTACTTTTTCATCATTTTTAAGTAAGTTGTGATTATCAGCTGAACTTCTGGGTCTGGCATGTTTTTTAAGACGTATGGTTTTTGGACTAGAATGTCTTATATTAGATCCTTCATATAACTTAGCTATAACTGATTTGGGTTCAACTGAATGGTCTCCAAAAGCATTAGGAACGGAAGAGGATGCATTATTCGTATTTCCTTCATAAGGCTTAACCATAATAATAGAATTTCCATTGAACGTCTGGAGCTCATTTTCAGCTATGATAGTTTCAGATTCATCTTGTGAATTTGATTTGGATTTATTTAACATTTCTCTATTTTTTACAATTTTACTATTAATTTTTGGAGAGTTTTCCATTTTAGGATTTTATGCATTAAAATATATAATCGATAAAAAAAATAAAAAGCGTAAACAATACGAACTGTCAAATAATTGTCAATCTGACATTTGTACTTTTTCAATGCAAAAAGAAATGTCAAAAATATCTAACCTCAAAAGTCACAAAGTTTGCATTAAAATGAATGGCCAAGCCAATGAAATGGAACGAGTTGATTGAAACTATTAAATAATATATAAGATTTGTTATAAAAATTTGAATAATCAATGTTATATTTCCCACAACGTTATCCGCATGATCATTATTTTGTCTGGCTAAAAAACCTGAAATTGCATTAAGCAAAAATTGCAGTAATCTTAAAAGAAAGTTATGATTATTATATCTAATAAAAAGAGTTAAAGCCATTATTTACTTTTATTACACATAGTTGAAATTAATTAAGCCATATATATAATGCGATATAATATGATAATGTACAATACGAATATATATATTGACTAGAGTATTGGCCTACATATAAATGTTTAGCGCATATTAATTATAATATATGATATAAATAAATAAATATAATAGTTCAACATTTACTTTTGTTTAATCTATTTTATAATAAATAAAATCATTTAAATGCATGGATTATTATTAGAATCCATCTTAATATGTGTACATATTCCTTTGGGATTATGACCCTTTAGAACAGGAACTCTGAAAAGTTTACCTTGAGGCATGCAAATGCACAATTTATAAGCCAATACACTACCGGCATCATGCTTAGTTTTCACATCATCTGTAATCAAAGGTATGGTTTGAGTGTCAATCGATACTCCATCTTTGCCATTTAAGGAAATTGTTCCATTAAATGAGTGAATGATAACATCCTGGTCTGCAGACCAAAATATATCACTGCTTTGAATATATAATCCCTCTGTTCCTTGTATCTGAATTTTACCATTTGATTCAATATTTAAATTTCGATCCACAGGGCTAATAATTTTATTTGTAGCTACAGAGGTTGATATAAGTCTTTTAGTACTTTTTGCAATATTTAATCTAGTAAATTCTGTTTCAAATATCTTTTCTCTAGTATGCGGATCAATAATATCCATATTTTCAACTCCAGTAAATGCTATACCATTGTTATTAAATTTCATCTTTGTAGAAGGCTTGTCATTCTTCAATAAATTTACCAAAAAAGAACTGTTGGGAACTTCAATTTCCATAGGAGTGTCTCCATACCCTTCAATTCTTCCATCTCTTTTTATAATATTGTCTAAATGAATAGCATTCAAAAATTTGATTGTCGAGGGTTCAGAAATGACTTCCAGATCATGCATACCTTTCCCCAAGTGCAGGACACAAAATATAACTAAAGTTATTACTAAATTACCAATTGCTAATATAACCAGCAAAATAAACAACATCCAAAAAATAAAGGAATGCTTTCCCAATAAACTCCCAGAATGTTTCTTTTTAGGTTCCAATAATTCTTCAGCTGTATTTTCTTTGGAAGTTTGAAACGCTTGCCTGGTTTTGATAATGTTCACTTTTATATTGTCCATTCTGTCCTCTGATGAGATGAACAATGCATGAGTTGTCATGCTCATTTTCTGAAAATATTTACAAATGAGCGATTGAAAACTTGATCTATTTAATTTAATTTACGTAATAAAGACGATAGCATAGACAATTATTAAAGGTTAGCTCATCCCAGAGAAGAGCTTTTTGACACGATGAGCTTTACCTCAACGCCATCTTCATACAATGGAGAGAAAACTAGAAAAAGCTTCTGTGAAAGCTTTCTAACAAAAAATATCAAAGTTTAAATTTTAAATTACTTATAAATTGTAACTATTAAATTTTAATAAAGTTATAATATATATAAATTATACTTTTATAGTGCTTCAATTTATATATGCTAAGGCTCGCTTAACATAATAAAACAACGCATAATTTTGTAGAAATATTTAATATTTCCTTATTAATACACCTGCTATATATACATGCACTTATATATGTATATATATATATATATATATATATATATATATATATTTAAGTGGCTTGTACATGGTGTAAGTGTGTTTGTTAATACATGAATGCTAACTATAGTTATAGTTATTTATAGTTTGTGCGATAGACCATTAATTATGTTCTAAATTCTATTAAAATATTTTACGCTTGAGATCAATTTATTATAATATTTATTTATCTGTGCACTATATTTGCTCATATAGAATATATATAGGGTTTTAACATTTTTTGCAATTTGCAATACTCATTCTTTATGATATTCTTTTTTTCATTTACCACAAAAATTATTACTAAGTTCTGTATATATATTTCTAAACTCAAAAATAAATTAAAACTGTAAGCATTATTTTGATATTTCAATAAGTTTTAGAAGATTTGTGAAAAAAACAAAGTTATCTTGCTAACAATAATAATTGATTCGCGAAGTAAAAATATTTTTTTTAGCCTCATTTTCCATCGTGAAGTAAAAATAATTTTTTTAGTCTCATTTTCCATAAGTGTTTACAATATTTTTTATACAAATTTCAATAAAATGTATATATATATATACAGTCTTTTTAATTTTATCCATATTTATAAAACATAATTAATAAACTGTTTTAAATTGGTATGCAACACTCGTCACATAGATGTATGAAATAAATTGATATATCAATTTCAATAATTGTATAATAGAAAACGCAACACATATTTAAAAATATTAGATTGCCGTAAATATAGTTATTAATTTTATCGTATATAGATCTTAATCAGTAGGTATCTTTTAATTAACATCTAGCTTTCACGGCAAAGCAATTTTTGAAAACGTTCAATGTGCAAACTGTTTTACATAGACGATGTTTTAAAATATACGATCATAATTGTTTTCATTCAACCAAGACATTCATTTTAATTTGTATAAAGCACGGTTATATTATCTTTTATCTCTCACCTTAGACAACTTAACTCATAAACGATGCTTTTTACATTGTAAGGAACGATCCTCCTCAATTTATATGTAGGCCGCATATGAGTTAAATAGTCTCTTATCATTTGATGGAATGTGATTTTTAATAGAAATCACGATCTAACAGTCAATCATAATTCACAGCCCTGCAAAGTGAATCATTTACGCAATATACCGATTATATTCGGTATCTGTCTTGACATATCCTGAATATCATCTAAAATGCAACACTTCAGAGAATAACACATCCTGATCCATGCATGACTTCATGAATCAGCATTGGAGTTCCTGCACTAAGACCACCATCCGTCTTTTCATTTTCATTCTGATCATAGTCGCAATCAAAGTAATGGCTTTGGCAGTCCAGACATCGACAGTGATCACTCACCTTAAAAAATATTTTTTGTTTATATATATATATATATATATATATAATATTGATATTTAAAAAAATCTGTTTACCTTGCAGGTGATACCCCATTGCTTGGCAACAGCCCTGTACAGTTCCTTGCTTGATTTATGAAATATCTCTTCTGGTTGGACGCGTACTGTTTTTTTCGGTTGTTCTGCACATGCTTCTGCTTCTTGTTCTTTATCTAGACTTTCTTTTTCTTCGGATTCTGTAGAAGTATATAAATTTAACATTGCATAAAATGAATTTATATATTATGCAATGATTTGATATTTAATTTGATTTGATATTTAATTTCAAAACTTACTTAGTTTTTCTTTATCGCATATTTCGGCATACTGCTCTTCATCCTCTTCGTTTAAAGTAACATAAAGATTACTTTTGTCGTCTTCATTCAGAGTCAATCCATCAGGATTAGATTTTTCAGACAGTGAAGCAAGCCGGGTCTGCAATAAATTCAATATCATTATTGTTTGAATTTATGTTAATAACAGTTACAATATCGAAATTTATAAATTACCTCATTAATTACGTATTCGTACGAAGGTGGTGGACTTGACGGTATTCTGCACGATTCTATTGGCATAGTCATTGGATCTGAATAATCTAGGACTAAAAATATCACACCAATAATTAAAATAGTAATCAATAAATATTTCTTTTATAAAATTATTTTCATACCTAAATCAAGCCGGTTATCATTATTAGATCCTGGGAGTAACTGACGCATTTCCGCTTGTGATTGTGTTATTTGTTCCTGCACAACGTCTAGAGATGAGTCTTGCTCTATTTTTTCTTCCGTTGATGCACTTCTGCTGCTTCCTGACTTTGAAAAACGTAGTTTGAATGGTGCCATTCTAAAACAATAATAATAATAAATACTTTGTTTGAAAAAAAAAAATTATTAGTCGGTGACTAAAGTAGTCGGCGTCTCCACCGGACGTATGAGAGGCGTATGAGATAATGCGTGGTTCAGTATTTAATTTTGGATTGTATTAAATTTATTAATAAATTTAAATTACTTTTTATGTTATCAATATTTTATAAATTCTCTTTTTTTTCTCAAATAATCGTACCGCCTCTGCTTAATTTGTTGCCAGGCAGACGAGCTCGCAGATCGATGAGTCGCGTCATGTTGACTACGACCATCCTCATGGTATTTTGAACAATACGTTAGCAAAATCCTAACTTTCACTTTTATTCTATTATAAATGAGCTTAACTTTAATTAGAAATAATTATAATATCTAAAAAATACGTTGGCTATCGCTATTTCCATATTTATTTGGATAAAAATATAATAAAATTGAATAAAACGAATTGCATATTATTTTTCAATACAAAGCATAAATTATATTTTATAAATACTATATTATTAACTATATTTATTATAAATTAATATATTTGATCTCACGGTGTTGTCGAGAGCAGTTTTTGTTTTTATGTCGATAAGACGAAGATAACTTTTAACAAAAATTCATATCATTTTTTGGTACAGTACTCTGAGATATTATTATAACGTCAGGGTGTTGAACAACACTTTGGCAATTGCGCATTTTGTAAAAACGAAATTAATGAATGAAAAAATAATGTTATTTTTAAATACAAGCATTAAAATTTATAATTTTTGACAATGATTTGTATAATGAAACATACGTTGTGTTAAAAATCCTGTGAAAAAAATAAGGAACTAATTTTAATTAATAAGAAACTGTTAATAATATTTAAAAAAAATTAAAAGTTGCATTACGTCTTATTTTTTTAATAAAAATCTACAGAAGTCTATGATTGTATAATGTTTGCCCTATTTATGGGGTTTGTAGGCCAGTGCACCGGCAAATAAATAGGGCAGAATCAGGTCGGGTCCATTGCAGCGCGACCCGAGATGCATCTGTGTCAGGTCACTGGGTCGATGTGACCCACTTTTCTCACTACCATATTAGGTTACTATGCATTTCTTAGAATGTCTCTTATGCAGGTTTATTGTAAATAGATAAACGACTCTTTATATATCAATTGCATAAAATTTGTACTGTAGGAATCGTTAATATAAATAAGAATTTTGTACTATTATAAAGCAAGTAATATTCATAAGATTGTAAATATGAATCAGATTTTAAACCGCCCAAATAATATAAATTATTTCTGCTCGACCAATTTTATTATTTTATTCATTATTAACTTCATTATATTAATTAGACAAAACACAAATAAGAAATTGATTCGGTCCACAATGAAATGCGAATAAATCTATCATCTTTGATCAAATTGGCGTGTGTTGGAGACCGCAAACACATTACTAAAATTGAAGCGTAGTAGATGTTTCGCCACATGTAAAATGTGTATAAGGGAGTGCTTATGTCCATAAAACAGTATCGATTTGTAATAAATATTACTTGGGTTGTAACACTATGAGACAGATAACTTTCACGCATAGTAGAAATGTTTGTGTCATTCAAGATTTAGATCGTGTAACATCAATCAATTCGAATATAATTTATGTATATTATTATATATATACAGTTATACACGCACATACATACACAAAACTAAAATAAAGTATGCATACATAAAGAGCATTTGTACTAAACTGCCTATATAAGGGATATAACACATTTATAAGTAAAAAATTCACATGATCATTTATGAGAAATTATGTAATATGGTTTTTATTTAAAACAATAATTTAAAATTTTTATTTATTTTTTAATTAATGTAAGTTATAAGAAACTTTTGATCAATAGAATTGAACTGTTGATTGTTCATTGAAATTTGCATTGAAAGAGCCATTGCAGATTAGGTATGCTATATATATAAATATATATATATATATATATATATTTATATATATATATATATATATGTATAATATAATACTCGTATATTTATTGTTGTCTAGTACATAATTTCAATTCAAATTTTTGTTGGAGTAAATGTTTTGGTTTTATGCCAATAATAATATTAATAATAACTAGTTGGTTTGGTATTTAGCCTTGAGGCAAATTACATGAACTTCCCGATATGTGTAAATAATCGACTTGATCAAAAAAATGTGTAAATAATATACTTCATCAATCCTACTTTAAAAAAAACGATAATAATTTTAGCAAAGTTTGACGAATTTTTAAAATTAAACTACTTGTTGTAAGGCCGTAATATTACAGTAAGTTCTATAACACCATGATGTATATCGCCAAAAAAAGTTCCATGAAAGAAGGATTAAATTTTTTTTTCAACAGTTAATTACAAGAAAACGGCTCGGTAGATTTTCACCTAAAATTAATCAGTATCATTCCCAAATGATATCTTTCGAACAGTTTTTGATTTTTCAAAATCGGTTCGGTAGGATGAGCTTAAATGTGGACGAAAATTTAACACTTTTTTTCAACAGTTAATTACAAGAAAACGGCTCGGTAGATTTTCACCTAAAATTAATCAGCATCATTCCCAACTAATATCTTTCGAACAGTTTTTGATTTTTTAAAATCGGTTCGGTAGGATGAGCTTAAATGTGGACGAAAGTTTAACACTTTTTTTCAACAGTTAATTACAAGAAAACGGCTCGGTAGATTTTCACCTAAAATTAATCAGCATCATTCCCAACTAATATCTTTCGAACAGTTTTTGATTTTTTAAAATCGGTTCGGTAGGATGAGCTTAAATGTGGACGAAAATTTAACACTTTTTTTCAACAGTTAATTACAAGAAAACGGCTCGGTAGATTTTCACCTAAAATTAATCAGTATCATTCCCAAATGATATCTTTCGAACAGTTTTTGATTTTTCAAAATCGGTTCGGTAGGATGAGCTTAAATGTGGACGAAAATTTAACACTTTTTTTCAACAGTTAATTACAAGAAAACGGCTCGGTAGATTTTCACCTAAAATTAATCAGTATCATTCCCAAATGATATCTTTCGAACAGTTTTTGATTTTTCAAAATCGGTTCGGTAGGATGAGCTTAAATGTGGACGAAAATTTAACACTTTTTTTCAACAGTTAATTACAAGAAAACGGCTCGGTAGATTTTCACCTAAAATTAATCAGTATCATTCCCAAATGATATCTTTCGAACAGTTTTTGATTTTTCAAAATCGGTTCGGTAGGATGAGCTTAAATGTGGACGAAAAGTTTTTTCGAATTACAAAGAAACGGCTTGGCAGATCGTTGCACAAAACTGACAAACGATAGTCCTCACCGAAATACATCAAATGGCTTTTAATTTTCTAAAATCGGTTCAGGCGTTTTTGAGAAAACGTCGATCAAAAGTCTAATTTTGACAAATGCCAAAAAGACCATACTGATTTTTGCAAACTTTGACTAATTTTTAAAGCTGAACCAGTTGTCGTAGGGCCGTAATATTTTAGTATGACCTAGAAAACTATGGTATCTTTCGTCAAAAAAATAATCATAAAAATCGTCAAAATTTTTTTTTTAAAAACTTTATTACAAGAAAACGGCCCGGCCGATCTTAACCAAAAACTAATCAGCACGATTCCCAACCAATATCTATCGAACGGTTTTTGAATTTTCAGAATCGATTCAGAATTGCGGGCTAAAACGTGGACGAAAAATTTTTCACTTTTCTGCAATTTACAAAGAAACGGCTTGGCCGATCGCCGCACAAAACTCAGAGACGATTGTCCTCATCGAGATACATCAAATGGCTTTTAAATTTTTGAAATCGGTCCAACCGTTTTGGAGAAAACGTCGATTTACGGCAAAAAATCTGTTCACACACACACACACACACACATACACACACACACACACACACACACACACACACACACACATACTTTTTCCAAATTTGGTCTCATTCGATTCAGAATGGCTCGAAACGTCGAGAAAACATAAAATTAGCGATTCGGATTTTTTGATGAAAACATAAACTTCTCCTTCGGGAAGTTAATAATATTAAAAAATCAATCGTAAAGAATTTGTCCCTATTACAATGTATAAATAAAATTAATAAAAATATATCGGCATATAATTTAAAAAAATAAATAAAGGATTATTCATATTATTCAAATTAGTTCAATAAATTAATTCGGTATACATAATTATTAAAAGTATTAATGCAGCACTTCAGACTCTTCTTCAAAATTAACAATTAAAATATACTAAATATAATCAACATGCCTCAAATTAAATAAAATATTTTTATCATTTCATTAATTTAAAGTTCACTGAATATATCTTCTATTTTAGTTAAATGTATAATTTATATAATATTAAAAATTATAAGTCAAAATATCAAGTTTTATCCAAATTTCTATTTATTAAATATTCCGTGCAAACATCTCATTAATTCAATAGAAGGACAATATTATATGGTGCACTTTCATTCATATTATAAAGGTGCAACCTCCAAGTTTGTGTATAAAGGTTTTGTTCAAATTGTAAAAGTAAAATTATAAATTCAATATTATGGAAATTAATAACATACATTTATAAATATATATGTTAAAAGAAAAAAACTAATCCTTGTGCCTTTTAAATACATTTTTAAACAGATTCTCGCGATTTTTATTCGAGGAATGATCAAAACATTCAGTCTATCGTTATAGTGCTTATAATATAAATGAATATATATATATATATATATATATATATCTGTGTATATCTATCTATCTAAGTAATAATAAATAGCATGGCTCATTTTTAATAAATTTAGTAGCAATGTATAAAAAAGGGCTGAACGTTTTGTCTTCTCTGAAACATTGTTTTTACAGAATTAAGAAACAATTTTACTATTAGTTGAAATTTTAAGAATTTCATGAGTTTATGAGACTGTAAAGCTCACAGTCGAAAGCACTAATAAACGGGCAAAAAATAACAAATATTTAATATTTATAGTGCTACTAATTAATAAAATAAAAAAACCTAAATGGGTTGAAATTTGGTGTTACTGTATTAGAAAAAAAACACCAATAAAATTTATACATGCTAAGGGAAATTTAATTATTTTACAATAAACTATTTTAGTTCTATTTAATCATGCTATTAATTCCTATTGTTTATAAATAATCTTACTTACATGCTGATTCTTTGTCGAATTGAGCAAAAAAACTCGATTTGATTCACACCGACTTCTTAAACGTATACGAAACTCGCTTAGAAATAGCAGTTTAGTATTGATATGTTTGTGATACTTTTGTGCACTTGATATTGGTACAGATTTATGCAATATTTATTATAAATCATAAGAATTACATATAAATATAATACAAATAGAGAAGGCTCGTTAGGCTGACGTGAATTTAGTTCGTGAAGGCCTTAACAACTGTTTTGTTCTGGCCGGAATGGGCCTTATGTACTTCGTGAAAAGTACATTTGCCGAGGACGAGCGGACATGCGCACGATTCGCAAAATAGGAAGGCAAGCTTTTAGGCGCCACGAGGATAGATTCGATAGAGCTGAATTGGAGGAGGACGCCTCTGAAAAAATATCTTTTTCTAAAAATGAATTTATTAAATTAGTACTTTTCTATGTTTTTGTTAATGTTATTGATGCTTTTGTTTAAAAGAGATTTGCGGATATTCTGAACTTACTGATATTATGCTGACTTGCAACCAGATTTCTACGCTCTTAAAAATAGATGATAAGATATAATTAATTTTATTACTAAAATATTTAAATTAATTTCAAATAGAGATATATTTTGAATTTAAATTATTTATTACTTTTAAGAATTACTCCTAAACAATTTATAGTGCAAAAGGTTTATTTAATTTGTGCTCTTGCAACAGATACAGAGTTTTAGCTGTATGTTTGCAGATTTTTGGTTATTTGGCAAGTTTGTCAGAATCATAATACCACAAATAAATTTCTCCATACAATTTATCATCATTTTAAGAGTGGTTTCAAATAACTTTCAATGTAGAAGTTCATAGAAAATCCAATTAACTAATTTCATGTTTTGCTAACGTGTCATCCTGAATTGTTTGACACCATAATCTATAAATATGTTGATTTTAGTCAACTTTTGCGTTGAATAACTTTGCGTGACAATCGGCCGAGCAGTTTCTTTAGAATTAACAGTAAAGCGTAAAATTTTTATCAACGTTTTCAATTCAAAAACTGTGCGTAACATATCAGATAGAAATAGTGCTGATCGACCTGGCCCTTTCTTCTGATTTTTTTTTGACGATTTTGATGAAAAATTGTATGATGATAGAGTTCAAAATATAAAAGTTCCGAATATTTACCCGAATATTACACATAACAAAACCATTTTTATTAAATTTATACAAAAATTATTATCTGACTACTAAAACACATCAGTGTTTGCAACAATAAAAAAAAATTATAGCTTGAAATTTTTTTTTTAAAATAGTACGATTGATCATATGGTTTGATATAAGTAACGTTTGATATAAAAGACCTATAATTTGTAGTTTGAGTTTTCATACAACTGGATATTTATTGATGTAAGAATTCATTTTGAAAGTAAAGACAAAGCACTTTCATAAAATTATTATCTAAACAGCTTCTTTTAAACCAGCCATTAATAGGATTTTTGCATGTCACATCAAAATTGGAATCACCAAATAAATACACGAATAATTAAAAATAATAATATTTTACAAAAAGCATATTTTTTTCTTTAAAAATTAAACATTTTAACTAAGAATGTAGTTAAATAACAAATTTCATTTTTTCTGATACGCTTCTGTTTAGCGAGTATGAAACTGTATACTCCTCTCGTTTGTTTTCCGCGAATGATTGCAAATCCATTTAAATGTTTTTGTTCTTCTGCGAAAAGCACTTGACATATTCGAAAACAAGCACGATTTCAAAGAATGATCGATTTATGGGTTCTAATATTACATTTTTAATTATTAAATAAAATGTTTTATATTGCACGCTGTGATTTATGATGTCCATTTAGCGCCCACGTTGAATTTTGTATCTTGGTATTAAATTGTAGGATTTCAGGTGACATAAAAATCCCACACGTAAACGACCTTAAATGGATAAAGTAACGACATAATTTTATATAGATGGACTTTTTTTAAAACATATAAAATTCCGTATAAATAATATATATGTAGGGTCTATAAAAAGCAGTTTTATAAACTATAAAATAAAGATGTTTTTGAATTACTCCCTTTACGTTTTTATATTATTACTTTAAAAATAACTCATCTATTAATTACTTTATACGGAGTGTCCCAGAACTTAATGTTAAGCCGAAACGAAGTGATAGTATTGATATTAACTATCATAAAAAAAATTAAAAAAATAAACCCGTGTAGTTTGAAAATTAAGAGCTTTTACAACTTAAACCTTTGGGATGACCGCTTCTGGGTTGCCGCGGTTGATTTTTTTATTTAAATTTTAGGAAGATAAATAACATTTCAAGAACCACTGTACAAATAATGTAACAATTGCACCAAATCTTCTAAAATAAGGACTATTTGTTAAACTATGAATTTAAATTAATCAAAATTGGTCCACTATGAAAGGGCCTTTTAATTAAAAAAATCCTAAAAATAACACGATTTACTATCCCGATTGTAATTTTTGATGCAATGTTGTGGTTCTTCATTAGAACACATATCTCTGATACATACAAAGTTCATATGTAGCATTTAATTAGTTAGAAACAATATACATATATATGTATAATATGTGATAATATGTAAACCAATTATATATAAACCAATTATATATATATATATATATATATATATATATATATATGTATATATATATGATATATATAATATATATAATATATTATATATATATATATATATATAACCCATATATATATATATATATATATATATATATATATATATATATATATTTATTTATACTTACGAGAGAAGAGAAAATACAGGGAACTAAATAATGAAGCACTGCATCAGAAAGCCTGGAAACAGAAAGGAAATTTCATAAGAGTGAATAAAAAGTGATTAATGGTAATAAAAAGGTGTAAGAAATAATAAACATGGGTGGGCAGGAAAATCTCTCATATCATGAACATCTGCATTCGGGCAGACTACTAATACTAACATACATCTAGAATTTTCCCAAGTACAAATTATGTTGAGTTACACAATTGCCTGAAAGTATATGAAAGCGTGTAGTCTCTAACACTCTGCATATAAAACCCTTACATCACACGAATAATTGACTAGGTATTCTTCTAAAAAAACAATCCAGTGTGGTGAAGCATACTCGAAGTTGTTATTTATTCTGTGAATGAAAGTCTCAGTAATGAATTCTAGAGAGTACGCGTAGCCGCGCCTGCGCCCTAAGAAGATGTTATCGACTTTGTACATTTCCCTTCGACCCTCGGAGCACCCTCGGAGCGTGGGCGGTTCCTGGAAACGAAGCCCTACCGGATCATATGCAATTTCACATTTATCTCGTCTGTTAACATTCGCTTTCAAAGAACTCGTTTTCTTAGAAACAACCAGACACTTACAAAATTTTGAACATCGCAATTCGTAATAACTTAATTAAACATGAAGCTAGGAAAATAATCAAATTATGAATATTGTTTAGTTTATGTGTATTGTAACACTAATTAGTTAGGAAACTGATCTCAAATTTATTACCATAGTGTTTTGATGGTAATAGTCTAAACACTTTCTGGAATTATTACATTCGTTTAGCTAGAAACACGCTGAAATGCACAAAATTTGCAACATCACTATTCGAAATAACTTAATTAAACGTGAACTTGCTACGTAAATACAGAAAAACAATCAAGTCATGAACATTGCTCAATTTATGTATATTTTCATGATAATTAGCCTGAGGGCCGATACCATATTTAGTTTATCTATAAATGTTTTGAGATTAATAAATCCACAATATTTGTGTCATTAAATTTCTGATAATTTAATAAAGTTTAATTAACTGTTATGCGAATACGCCCACTATTCTACACCGTTCTTCGATTTATTGATTAAGATTATTAACTTCCCGATTAAGCTAATTTGCTAATTGTTTAAGACCAAGGTAGAAAACCTATGTGTAACCTATGTGTGGATGAATACGTGAGCCAAAATTTAATTTTTCCTCGAACCAATTTAATAAAATTAAAACCCAAACCCAAACCTAAACCACAATATAACAAATTATCCATGTTTTCACAAGAAATCCTGAAGCCAATTTTCAAAATATATCAGCTCGAGATCGTACTAATTAGTTTTTGTTAAATATAGGCCAGGTCATTTCTTCTTAATTATTATTAAAATATGTAACAATTCTGATGAAATTTGATAACAAAAAAATAAATGTTGGTTAAAAACATACTAAAATATTATAGGTCTACGAAAAGTGGTTCAATTATAAAACTTTTTTCGTAACAATTCAAATCTTAAATCGTGATTCTTAATTGTCAAGGCAAAATGCCACCTTTCCTTAGATTATAGATATCGAGATATTCATGAAAAATATAAATTTTATATTATATGTGTATTAGTATTTGGGACTTTATTATTATATTATTTTAAAATTTTATGGAATGGTAACACTTAGTGTAATAACAGACTTTTGTTAAAATATAAATTTGGAACATACAATAAAAGTGCAAGAAAGATATGTAACATTAAAACAAAAAATATATAATATGACATATTAATTTCAACTTTACGACGAATCTACAAATCTAGTATATGATTAACCAACCAGTCTTAAATTAACATTTACACAACTATATTATATATACTTCTATATTACTTATATATTATATGTACTTCTAATATGATTTTATAATAAAAATAAGTATTAGGAGTTTATCAAAAAGCAAAACGTTACTTGTTATATATTACTTATGTATATGAACAGATATTATTATTTTAATTGAGATATTTGATAACATGTAAATACCCAAGCAATAAAAGTGTATCAAACATATTAAAATTATTGTATTTTGTTAAATTTATACTCAATTTTTTTGTACATTAACAACAAATGTATTAAATTTAAACATAGCAGCAGCAAATCGTGTGAATATAATTGCTTTTTTCCGTTATCCATTTACTTGATTAAATATAATTTTCTCGTAGTTCTACATTTTTTTCAATATATACGATTTTCTTACATCATAACATTCGGCCCATTATATT